GTGAGAGCCATTCGCCCACATTTGGAAAAGATGCTATCGTACATTAACAATATGGTAATATTTCAACCTTTTGTTTTTTTTTTTTTTTTTTTAAATGTTTACCGGTTCATGATCAGTAACAAACGCTCGTTCATTCGTAGGATCCATAATTTCTTCCATAGGACCTCTAACATCATCATTAAAACTGGAAGATGGTGTTACGACCCAACTTAACTCTACTGCTCTACGCCAAGATATTAGTAGGGATAATAAAAGTAATCCTACATTCATCCAACAAACAGATAAACTTGCTAAAGCCAATTGACATTGAAAAATTTTCCAATTTGTTATTTTGATTACTATTGGGGTATTTACATCTGTGGGGGCTATGTTACAATTTATGCCGGCGCCTGTTCCCGTGTACCAAGGAGCAAAGGTTGCTATTCCTGAAGAGATGAGAAAGTGTAAGTATATAAAAAATAAATGTCAAAGTTATTAAAATGTTAAAGTTATTAGATTGAATGTTTTTTACCTGCTGATAAATATAATGAAAAGAAGAAACTGATGAAAAAAATAAAAATAATCAATAAACAAATCAATATATGTTTATTCTGTTTTTAAAACATAAAAAATTTTTTTTAAACAAAAAAAAAAAATACAAACAATTCAGAACCAAGTAGATACCACCAAGATAATGAATACCATAGAAACCGAAGGTTAAATAAGTAGGTGGCTAGAAAGAAAGAAAAAGGTTAGAAGACCTATTTAAATATATCACCAAGTAAGAATGAAACGATGCCTTTACTTGTTCCGATCGTTGTAATAATTATCACAACATAGTACCATATTCTAACCCGTCCATCAACTCTAATTAAAATTAATTCATAAAATTTATTGGTTTAGCCATGAATCAATGCCCCCAAAAAAAGGAATAGAGAATTGATAACACAATGAATTTTAATTGTAGTAAAATACATTGAATTTTAATTGTATTAAAAAACAATGAATTTTAATTGTATTAAAATCAATAGTACTTACTGAGGTGTGTCTTCAAAATAATCTGTTTTTGAAAGTCGAACATTGTATAATTTTGATGAATTTACACTATCTACATAATTTGAGTATGCAATGAATTCTGTTATCTCTAACGAAAAAAAACAAATTAATTAAATTAAATTAATTAAATTAATTAATTAGTGTTAGTTAAGTTACAATGTATAGGTTCATCCAACTTTACAACACAAATATAAAAACATACCCAGAACACCACAAATAATTGTAACCAAAATTTGAAAAGCTTTTAAAAGTCGAAATTTATTTATATGATAACCAACTATCATTTTTTTTTGTTTAATACGTAGAATTCGTCAATTTACATATATTTATTTATTTTTATTTTTACATGTAGAGGAAACTTCACCAGGTTCGTGCACACTGTTTTATTACTGAATACAACCTTTAAAGTTACTTGCGAAAAGTAAACTTCAAAAGTTGGATCTTCGTTCTTTGTTCTAACCTTTTTTGAAGAAAAATTCTACTTAACACAAATAACGTTTAAAGGCGATATCACAAGGCTTTTGGATACCTTCCTTAAAAATACATGGGTAAAATCTACTCCTTATATATCCAGTCGAGTTTATTGAACTGTAATTGGAATTTCTTTATGCATTTACGTACGTCTAGAAATGTAAATTGATAAACAATACCCAAGCAAATGTGCATTTAGACTTTCCGAGTATTTAAACGCCAAAAACACTTATTTAACCTTTTAAGTTATGATGAAATATAACGATCACCTGATCGTATAATTCGACATCATATCGATATATATTGATATTCGCCATAGCGATAGGCTTTAATTTTCCGGTTAGGGTTAATACATAAAAGTATTCATAATTTAAAAACATTATCATATTTAGAAAGTCTGTTACGTAATCTACTAATGATAAATTTTCCAATTAAGAGATTCGCGAGATTTGCAAAAAATCAATTGATTATTGGAAAGTTAAATGATTAATACCTTCATTCCTATTAATATCTATTAAAATCTATTAAAATCTATTATTAACAGTAGGGTACTACTGTACTATATATTATTTATGTTAAGAAACAAACGAAGATCTCATGATCAGTTTATTAATGTCCAATTCTTTGCTGCAGATAATAAATTCATTTCGAACCCTATAAATCATGTCATCGACTGTGCATAAAATAAATTGCAAACAAGTTTTGCATACCCAATTTTATTTGCACAATTGAATAAATTTCCTTTAGCTTTTGAGCCACATAACCGTACAGTACATTATGTAGGTCCACGTGTATACTCTATGTCCAATAGGAAAAGATTTATGACGTAACATTCATTTATCTAAATCGGGTGTTTATAAAAATAGTGCGTATTACAAATAATAATCTTATCTATACTTTAGATATAATGGGTGCTCAAGGATCGAAACAAATCCAAAGAAAGTTTCCACAACATGTTACTTCGGAAGTTAAATCTAGTGCGGCTGAAACGCATGCTAAAATTCAAAACCAAAATACATTAGACGATGTTACAATTTCTTCTCAAAAAATTATAGCAAGTGCAACCCGTAATAACGGTAAAATTATTCGCATTTATTATCATTATTATTGTTATCTTTGAGAGGTTTCAGAATTAAAAAAATTAACGTATTTCAGAAATAAATGGGTGCATTAAAAATCTTGTGTTTCAAAATTTTGAAATCGGAAAATGAAATGGGAGTGTTTGGAGACTCCCATTTAATAAAATTAGTAAACTGCTCAAATAACAATTCAAATTTATCGGGAAATGAAATAAAGTTGGTACATCGCTCATTTGAAAATGAGCACGTCACCTATTCTGTCAAAATTAGATTCCCGCACTTTAATTCTGAAACCTCTCATTATTATCATTCTTATTATTATTTTCATTCTTATTATTATTTTAATTTGTCTCCTTTTTCAATTTACTTGATTGTCAGCCATTGAAGAAGATGGTAAAGACCCACAGCTATTAAACAATTTACAGGAAATTGGTCAAGTAATTTTACCGAAAGTCTCAATACCATATAAACAGGTGAACTTTATTGATTTCAATTTGGCATGATGAACTTATTTTTTTAAAAAAAAAATCAAATTCTAATTCTTCTAAAAAACAGTCTGATGAAATGTTGGAAATTCTTAAACATAGACAAATAGAACTTAATGAGAACAAAAATGTATTGCAGAAAAATAGAATTTCTGTAGATCAATTAAAAGAAATGTTGGAGAAAAAAAATTTAGATCCTAGTGAATGGACACCGGAAAAGTTGGCTTCTCAATATAATTTAGATGTTTCAACTATTAAAATTTTATTGAAGCATATAAACACTTTTATGTAATAATTTAAATGGATGTCGTCTATTTAGAAACAAACAATTAACGAAAAAAATAAATTTACATCGAATATCAATTTTTTTTATATCTATTGTTTTTTTACCATTATTTATTCATGCTTATAGTTTTGTGGGTGAGTTTTTTACACTTAATATATTGTGATACATATGTCATTATGTGTATAGACGTCGTGCGTCAGATTCGAAGAGGCGTAGATTTAAAATTGAGTTACATCAGAAAGAAATTCGATTCTGAGATGCGTCAAACCAAGATTATTATTTACGCGACATGTATAATAAGTGTAATAA